ATGATATTGTTTCTTGATTGTTTCTCGACAACACATTGTCTTCTTACAACCCTACTTGTTTAAAAGTTAAAGCCATTGAACAGTGCCAACATTCACAGAACTAATTCTTGCGTTAGGGAAACGCAAATGAATGAATAAATTCTTTCTTATTTTTTTAGAACGCAGAAAAAAAAGGAAAGTCAGACTAACAACAAGAAATGTTTCAAGAACCAGCAATATTTTATAAAATCACTTCCCATAGCCCTGCGCCTGCCAACGCCTTTACAAATTCCTGTTTGTTGTTAGAAGATTGATAAACGATTCGTATTCTTTCATCTGGGAGAAAAAAAAATTATTTACCGTTTCAACAGTATATAGGAGACAATGACGTATAAAGCAGTACTCTCATTCAATATAAATTCTTGTTAAAATATTTTTTTTTACAAAAGAGAAGACAGGTGGACATCTTAGATTAAAGAAGACCATCCCCTTGATTTTAAATCTCAGAAAATTTATTTTTGACAGTCCTGAAAAAAAATGTGCAATATATGGAAGTAATTGGGCGGAACTTATATCTACAATCCGTCGGTAAGGAAGCTTAGAAACCGCTCCCGTAATTATCTAACCGCCTAGTGATCAGCTCTCTCTTTACAAAAACGAGATCAGACTTAAAAACGGATTACTCGTGCCATATCTGGTCTGGAGCTGCCAATACTTTCTTTCCAGTTTTTATAGGATATTCAGAAGCGTGGATGATTTTCTACTCTCCAACCCGTTTCCCATAGACAAACATGTCGCAAGCCTTTCGCAACAATATTTTCTTAGCCTATTTTCTGAAAAGCTACATTGCTTAGTTCTAGGCCTTCACAGCTAAGGTAGGTCTTGCTACGTTCCCTGGAACAAGCCGACCCCATTCCTCTTCGTATTGTGTTAGTAAGAAGGAAATTCCATTCGGACAGCTTCTTCTCAAGCATCACTACCTAAGGTAATGAACTCCCGAGTGGATGCTTTCCCGATCACTAGAATCTTAACCTCTTCAAGTCTTGCGTTAACCGTTATCTTTCCAACATTTCTTCATGATTTTTCATTTCTTACCGCCTCCTCTTACGTGGATCAACCTCATTCAGAAACCCCGTTAAAATGCTGTCATTGTTAAAAAGAGCCGAGAATTAGGAAGGCTGTAGTTAGAGAGAGTATCGAAGGAAGAGAAAACTAGGTTGAGAGAACAAAGAAGACGAGGTTTACTAAATACTTGTAAACAGAACGGAAATACTCAGTAAATCAAATACTACTCAAATTCTACTCTAATGTGGCTACTTGTCATATTTATATGTACGAACAGTCTATTGCCACAGTAGTAAGGGAGAGCAAGGAGTACATTGAGACGTACTCTGCAACAAACTCTCTACCTTGAGTTCTTCTTAGGTTTTGTATTGGGTGAACAACTAGTGAAAAAATTTACATTTCTCTCGGAATCTCTCGGAATTTCTGGAATGAAGAGTTATCATTATTTACATTACAGAGGGTAATCGACTTACGTCAGGGATCCGTTTCTACAGCGCGACATAACCTGACTTTCGACGTAGGTCGGGACTCACCTTCATAAGCACACACGTCACTCACCTGGAGCACATACACAGTACAGTACACATACTGTACACAGTACAGTGCGGTAATGAAGGGAAATATTAAAAATAAAATTAAATAACAAAAGAGAACAATTTTTGACCTTTACCCTTGTGGTAAATAGATAAAAAAAAATCATTTGATCATACAGTACATACAAGGAGAAATTGACCTTACATTTACTCCTGTGACAAATTAGAGTTAATAAAGAAAACAATTCTTTACATTTTTAGGGGCAAATAAGATGGAGGGTCAGGGATCTACTACAGACCTCTCTACATTCTTGAAAAAACGTTCCAGGCTAGACTGGAAGAATTACCCTCTTCTTCTCCCCCGAAATCTCCTTGTAATACAGCTGGCAATCTATGACCCCTCTGGGAACCTTAGTATACCTGGCATTTCCACTTTCAATCCCTTCCTTTTTTCTCTTTTCAAGGACTCAAAAAATCACTTAGCCTTCTCCTGAATCAACATGAGACTCGCTGGGTTACGCCATTGATGCTGGTCTGCCAGCCAAAGAACTAATAAATGTTCCATCTGAATAATGAGACGGCTACGTAGTTTTATAATCACAATAGGTTTCATAGGAGTAGATCTTTCACATGTTCAAATATAGCCTTTTTATCGTCGAGCAACCGGCTGATGTTTGTCGGTGTTTCGCCTTTTTTCCAGACATTTAATTATATCGACTTTCACTTCCATGAAGATGGCTTTCTTTTTCTTTAAAGCACTGTCATCTGAAGAGTCTGCCTTACGTTTGAGAGCCATAATGAAAGGCAAAAAGGCCTCCCCACCAAAAAAATGACACAAACGAGAGAGAGAGAGAGAGAGAGAGAGAGAGAGAGAGAGAGCGAATGTAGCACAATCCAATATGGCGTACAGCCGATGAAGAAACAACGCCGTCTTTTTAAATAGTGCCGCGTGTCGACGTATTCATCCGTTCTGCCCATCAACTAGTTCCTGCGCTAAATTTGTTATAACGTCGTAAACACTGTACATCGAAATGATGTTACAACACTTTCTTAATAAATTTATATGAGATGACACCGAAACCACTAACAACCCTACGTCGGTTCCTACGTAAGCTGAGGACCTTCTGTATTCACATTTGGACGAATGCCCTCATATTTGCTGCTATTATCACAACGTTTCGCGCGGTTTTAACTCCAGGATTTTTCTGCCTAGACATTCAGCGGCATTCAAAATAAGATCTATCAAAGGGCGGATAAACCTTTTTGTATGACCAACCGCCACGTAAAACAATGGGGAAGACTGCTTTCTATACTTGGCCAGGTACTCAGTTGCACAGCAATCATACGATCACATTCGGTTATGTGACGATTGATGATTATAATGATTCAGCCTTAAGCCTAAATAAGCCAATAAGCATTGACATCGCTAAGTCAAACAACCTAACCTGAGGGTGTATTCCTGAATGAAATTGCGTGCATAGCTAACACTCATTGCAACTCAACCTAGAGAACCTGTCTACCTATAAATTTTGAAAGACTTACCCATGTTCACTTATACACGAGGTTTTGTAAAGGTTTTTGTTCGAACAAATCTAGGATCTTTACGATGGCTGAGAAATTCAAGCAACGTGACTGCATCTAAGTGTACATGAAGCTTAACAAATACAGGACTGTTTCCTCGCCGATGAAGGGAATATACTTGAGGCAATAGAGATTTCGTTCTATAGAAGTATGGAAAGCGTTATAGTGTACAATGAGAAATTTGATACCGAAATCTCAAAGGATATTGAAAGATCAATGATGTCTTAATCTAAATAAAGGATTAAGAACGGCTAATTTCATGAGAAAGGAAATAGTGCTGAACTGCTACGTAATATCAACATTTCTATCAGACAGTCAATGCTGGGCTATCTCCTAGCAGAGGAAGCGGAAAGCAACAGAGATGTGGTTCTACAGAAGGATGTTGAGAATACTATAGATTAGGCATGTGAACAACGAAGAAGCTTAAAAAATCAGGGAACGAAAAGGACATTTGTGTGATCAGAAAGCGATAATTGAATTTTCAGGACACATAATGAGAAGAGAGGGCTTGGAGAATTCAACACTCACAGAATATATTGAAGCCAAGAGGGGCTGGTGGCAACAGCTAATAAGTTTTTGTAATTAGATGGTAGAACATGGAGTGGAAGGAAGGATAAAGGGGACAAACATTGCTTAAATCTACGAAGGATAGGAAGTTGTGGTGAGCCATGATCAACCTAGTTAACAGGCTTGTGTAAATAGATGGCAGAACAGGGACTGGGGGAGATAATAAGGAGACAAACATTACTTAGAGCTACAAAAGACAAGAAGTTGTGGAGAGCCATGATAACCAGCATCTTCACTGTATACGACACATAGAAGAAAAATGAGCTCACAGTCTAGGGTAGCAGCCAGTCTAAATGAACAACTCTGAATTGGAAACGACGAGAAAACAACGGGTAACTACTCTACTCCCGTTCTAAAGACTTTGTTACGATTCACATATATAAAAGAAAAGGAAGCTGTGGAGAATTATGATCGTTTATTTTATAAAGAGACATGGCTTTCAAAAATAACTTATTTACTTATTGCATAATGAGAAGCCACGTATACTTTCTTAATATGTATATATAGAAAAAGTTGCAAATTAAAAAAAATAATAATGTACTTTTATGAAAGTATTTATTTATTTGTATATATATATTTGATATTTCAGATTGGCCTCAATCTTTCTTCAGAAATTACTGTTTGTGTACAAGTAGCGTCCGTCGCGAGATGCGGACGTCACGTGATATGGAACGAATATTCCTAACGTAAATCTAACTGTAATAATAGATTGGATGTTGTTTTAAAAAATAAAAAAAAATAAATAAAATAAGAAATAAAAATTTTTTTTAACTATATCTAAAAAATGTTTAACTTTTGAAATATTTATAAAGATTTAAAATACCCAAGTCTTTATTTAACCCTAGTTTATATGTATTTATTATTTACTTATTTGTATATAAGATAATTCTATATGTATTTATTATTTACTTATTTGGATATAAGATAATTCTGGATGCAAAAAACGCCTATTGGCGTATAAACTACACACAAAGTGACAAAATCTGCGAGAGGTCAAATTTAACTATAATCTTTTTCCAACATAATTTTGTCGCGATGTGCAACCTAAAGAGACATGGTGTTGTATATTCGAAATTAGAGAGAGATGCTCCATGGTAGAGAAGATGGGGCACACGGTTTGTAAATGTGACTGCGAGAAAGACTACCAGTTTGTCAGATTCTCATTTTCAAATGAAATCCAGGATCGAGCGTTGTAAACGCTTACGCTCATATGCGCATGTGCAATATCACGAGAATATTTCCGCTTCCTCTCCCGCCATTCCCACTTAGCCATGCTCAATACTGTGACGCGTATATGGATGATGTAACCATAGCAACCGCCGACCAGCATCCAAGTGATGAGGTCGCTCGCCCAGTGGGCAGGCAGGATGGAGACGTGATGAAGTTGCGAACTGTGTGCAATGAGCTATGAAAAAAAAGGACAGTTTTGAGATTTAACATTTCGGAAGACGGAAGGGGAAGAAAAGAGAGAAAGAGAGAAAAGAGGCTTAGATAGATAGATAGATAGATAGATAGAGGGAGAGAGAGAGAGAGAAAGAGAGAGAGAGTTACAGAGAGAAAGAGAGAGACTGAGAGAGAAAGAAAGATATTTTATGGCGGAAGAAATTGGAGATTGGTTTGATATCGAAGAGATGAATATCTGAAGTCGTGTTTGGGTAAAAAGAAGAGAGAATGAGGTAGACAGAGAGAAAAAGAAAGAGAGGGAAAGAAATATAGAAAGAGAAGAAGTGCATCGTGAAAATGAAAGGGGTGGGGGGTTAAATTTAGAAACTAATTATGAGGAGACAGAGAGAAGGAAGGTGTGAGTGAAGGCGAGAGAAAGAGGAAGGTGTAAGTAAAAGCGAGAGAAAGAGGAAGGTGTGAGTGAAAGCGAGAGAAAGAGGAAGGTGTGAGTGAAGGCGAGAGAAAGAGGAAGGTGTGAGTGAAGGCGAGAGAAAGAGGAAGGTGGTAAAAAGGAGAGAAAGAGGAAGGTGGAGGAAGGCGAGAGAAAGAGGAAAGTGTGAGTGAAGGAGAGAAAGAGGAAGGTGTGAGTGAAGGCGAGAAAGAGGAAGGTGGAGGAAGTCGGGAGAAAGAGGAAGGTGGAGGAAGGCGAGAGAAAGAGAAGGTGGAGTGAAGGCGAGAGAAAGAGGAAGGTGTAAGTAAAAGGAGAGAAAGAGGAAGGTGGAGGAAGTCGAGAGAAAGAGGAAGGTGTAAAAAAAAGCGAGAGAAAGAGGAAGGTGTGAGTGAAGGCGAGAGAAAGAGGAAGGTGTGGGTAAAAGGAGAGAAAGAGGAAGGTGGAGGAAAGGCGAGAGAAAGAGGAAGGTGTAAGTAAAAGAGAGAAAGAGGAAGGTGGAGAAGGCGAGAGAAAGAGGAAGGTGTGAGGAAGGCGAGAGAAAGAGGAAGGTGTGAGGAAGGAGAGAAAGAGGGAAGGTGTGAGGAAGTCGAGAGAAAGAGGAAGGTGTGAGTGAAGGCGAGAGAAAGAGGAAGGTGTAAGTAAAAGCGAGAGAAAGAGGAAGGTGTGAGTGAAGGCGAGCGAAAGAGAAAGGTGTAAGTAAAAGCGAGAGAAAGATGAAGGTGTGAGTGAAGTCGAGAGAAAGAGGAAGGTGTGAGTGAAGTCGAGAGAAAGAGGAAGGTGTGAGTGAAGGCGAGAGAAAGAGAAAGGTGTAAGTAAAAGCGAGAGAAAGAGGAAGGTGTGAGTGAAGGCGAGAGAAAGAGGATGGTGTGAGTGAAGGCGAGAGAAAGAGAAAGGTGTATGTAAAAGCGAGAGAAAGAGGAAGGTGTGAGTGAAGGCGAGAGAAAGAGGAAGGTGTGAGTGAAGTCGAGAGAAAGAGGAAGGTGTAAGTAAAAGCGAGAGAAAGAGGAAGGTGTGAGTGAAGGCGAGAGAAAGAGGAAGGTGTAAGTAAAAGCGAGAGAAAGAGGAAGGTGTGAGTGAAGGCGAGAGAAAGAGGAAGGTGTAAGTAAAAGCGAGAGAAAGAGGAAGGTGTGAGTGAAGGTGAGAAAAGAGGAAGGTGTGAGGAAGGCGAGAGAAAGAGGAAGGTGGAGGAAGGCGAGAGAAAGAGAAAGGTGTAAGTAAAAGCGAGAGAAAGAGGAAGGTGTGAGAAGGCGAGAGAAAGAGGAAGGTGGAGTGAAGTCGAGAGAAAGAGGAAGGTGGAGGAAGGCGAGAGAAAGAGGAAGGTGTGAGTGAAGGAGAGAAAGAGGAAGGTGGGGTAAAAAGGAGAGAAAGAGGAAGGTGGAGGAAGGCGAGAGAAAGAGGAAGGTGGAGTGAAGGAGAGAAAGAGGAAGGTGGGAGTGAAGGCGAGAGAAAGAGGAAGGTGGAGTGAAGGCGAGAGAAAGAGGAAGGTGTAAGTAAAAGGAGAGAAAGAGGAAGGTGTGAGGAAGTCGAGAGAAAGAGGAAGGTATAAGTAAAAGGAGAGAAAGAGGAAGGTTTGAGGAAGGCGAGAGAAAGAGGAAGGTGTAAAGAAATGCGAGAGAAAGAGGAAGGTGGGAGGAAGGCGAGAGAAAGAGGAAGGTGTAAGTAAAAAGGAGAGAAAGAGGAAGGTGTGAGGAAGGCGAGAGAAAGAGGAAGGTGTGAGTGAAGGCGAGAGAAAGAGGAAGGTGAGGAAGGCGAGAGAAAGAGGAAGGTGTGAGGAAGTCGAGAGAAAGAGGAAGGTGAGAGTGAAGTCGAGAGAAAGAGGAAGGTGGGTAAAAGAGAGAAAGATGAAGGTGTGAGTGAAGTCGAGAGAAAAGAGGAAGGTGTAAGTAAAAGGAGAGAAAGAGGAAGGTGTGAGGAAGGCGAGAGAAAGAGGAAGGTGTAAGTAAAAGGAGAGAAAGAGGAAGGTGTGAGGAAGGAGAGAAAGAGGAAGGTGTGAGGAAGGAGAGAGAAAGAGGAAGGTGGGGTAAAAGTGAGAGAAAGAGGAAGGTGGAGAGAAGTCAAGAGAAAGAGGAAGGTGTAAAAAAAAGGAGAGAAAGAGGAAGGTGTGAGAGAAGGCGAGAGAAAGAGGAAGGTGGGAGAAAGAGAGAGAAAGAGGAAGGTGTGAGTGAAGGCGAGAGAAAGAGGAAGGTGTAAGTAAAAGGAGAGAAAGAGGAAGGTGTGAGTGAAGGCGAGAGAAAGAGGAAGGTGGAGGAAGGCGAGAGAAAGAGAAAGGTGTAAGTAAAAGGAGAGAAAGAGGAAGGTGGGAGAAGGCGAGAGAAAGAGGAAGGTGGAGGAAGGCGAGAGAAAGAGAAAGGTGTATGTAAAAGGAGAGAAAGTGGAAGGTGTGAGTGAAGTCGAGAGAAAGAGGAAGGTGGAGTGAAGGTGAGAGAAAGAGGAAGGTGTGGAGAAGGCGAGAGAAAGAGGAAGGTGTGAGAAGGAGAGAAAAAGAGGAAGGTGGAGGAAGGCGAGAGAAAGAGGAAGGTGGGTAAAAGGAGAGAAAGAGGAAGGTGTGAGGAAGGCGAGAGAAAGAGGAAGGTGTGAGGAAGGCGAGAGAAAGAGGAAGGTGTGAGTGAAGGCGAGAGAAAGAGGAAGGTGTGAGTGAAGGCGAGAGAAAGAGGAAGGTGTAAGTAAAAGCGAGAGAAAGAGGAAGGTGTGAGTGAAGTCGAGAGAAAGAGGAAGGTGTAAGTAAAAGCGAGAGAAAGAGGAAGGTGTGAGTGAAGGCGAGAGTTAGAGGAAGAGGTAAGTAAAAGCGAGAGAAAGAGGAATGTGTGAGTGAAGGCGAGAGAAAGAGGAAGGTCTAAGTAAAAGCGAGAGAAAGAGGAAGGTGTGAGTGAAGGCGAGAGAAAGAGGAAGGTGTGAGTGAAGGCGAGAGAAAGAGGAAGGTGTGAGTGAAGGCGAGAGAAAGAGGAAGGTGTGAGTGAAGTCGAGAGAAAGAGGAAGGTGTGAGTGAAGGCAAGAGAAAGAGGAAGGTGTGAGTGAAGTCGAGAGAAAGAGGAAGGTGTGAGTGAAGGCGAGCGAAAGAGAAAGGTGTAAGTAAAAGCGAGAGAAAGATGAAGGTGTGAGTGAAGTCGAGATAAAGAGGAAGGTGTAAGTAAAAGCGAGAGAAAGAGGAAGGTGTGAGTGAAGGCGAGAGATAGAGGAAGAGGTAAGTAAAAGCGAGAGAAAGAGGAAGGTGTGAGGAAGGCGAGAGAAAGAGGAAGGTGTAAGTAAAAGAGAGAAAGAGGAAGGTGTGAGGAAGAAGAGAGAAAGAGGAAGGTGAGAGAAAAGCGAGAGAAAGAAGGTGTGAGTGAAGGCGAGAGAAAGAGGGAAGGTGGCAGTAAGGCGAGAGAAAGAGGAAGGTGTGAGTGAAGTCGAGAGAAAGAGGAAGGTGTAAGTAAAAGGAGAGAGAAAGAGGAAGGTGTGAGGAAGGCGAGAGAAAGAGGAAGGTGGGGTAAAAGAGAGAAAGACGAAGGTGTGAGTGAAGGAGAGAAAGAGGAAGGTGTAAGTAAAAAGAGAGAAAGAGGAAGGTGTGAGTGAAGGCGAGAAAAGAGGAAGGTGTGAGTGAAGGCGAGAGAAAGAGAAAGGTGTAAGTAAAAGGAGAGAAAGAGGAAGGTGTGGAGGAAGGCGAGAGAAAGAGGAAGGTGTGAGTGAAGGCGAGAGAAAGAGAAAGGTGTATGTAAAAGCGAGAGAAAGAGGAAGGTGTGAGTGAAGTCGAGAGAAAGAGGAAGGTGTGAGTGAAGGTGAGAGAAAGAGGAAGGTGTGAGTGAAGGCGAGAGAAAGAGGAAGGTGTGAGTGAAGGCGAGAGAAAGAGGAATGTGTGAGTGAAGGCGAGAGAAAGAGAAAGGTGTAAGTAAAAGCGAGAGAAAGAGGAAGGTGTGAGTGAAGGCGAGAGAAAGAGGAAGGTGTGAGTGAAGTCGAGAGAAAGAGGAAGGTGTGAGTGAAGGCGAGAGAAAGAGGAAGGTGTGAGTGAAGGCGAGAGAAAGAGGAAGGTGTAAGTAAAAGCGAGAGAAAGAGGAATGTGTGAGTGAAGCCGAGAGAAAGACAAAGACGAAGAAGGAAAAAGAGGTTGAAGTCAGATGAGACAGAAATTACTTACCAATTTCTGGTACGTGACTAAATAAGAAAATGGACAAACATCCAATGTAACGTGTTTCATCCTTCGAAAAGACTTCATTAGAGTAAATATTTTTATTGATTATTTACATTATTTACATTATTCGAACTATTATCCTTATCTTAATTGCAATAACTAGAATGTTTCGGCCGATGTACATTCCAGCCTTCTTCAGTGGATAAAGACGTTGGTTAGATCCAGTGTTTACACCCAAAGAGATGTGTGTTCAATACCAGACTACAGCAGTGGTGAACCAAAACTTAGAGAGTTGAGTTAAAAGAAATAACTGAGACACCAGGAAGAGGCATGACACGTGGAACTAGGACAATCTATCTCTGTGAATGAAATAAAGGGTTTGATTCGAAATTGCAGTTAGCTGAAGAAGACCGGAGCGTGCAACTACTGAAACGTTGTGAATATGACAATGATGATGAGGATAACAGTCTGAATAATGTAAGTAATCATAATACCCCATCTCAGAGATAGAGACGGATATTTTATTGATGGAATCATATATATATATATATATATATATATATATATATATATATATATATAAGGGATCTATCATCTATCTATCTATCTATCTATCTATCTATCTATCTATATATATATATATATATATATATAATGGATATATCAATATCTATATATATATATATATATATATATATATATATATATATATATATATATATATATATTTAGACTCTATATGTTATGTTGGTAAGTTTACACATGCGCACGGCAGAGGGATGCTGGGAAATGTAGAATTTTTTTACCTAGCCGAATTCATTGAGGGTCTTTTCTTTTTCTTTCCATCACTTTTGTAAGTAGGTATTCAATATTGTGCTATTAGGAGAACTGCCAGGAATGGTGAAATATTGTAAGAACCATGGCGCAAATTAACTGTAGATGACCTTGCGACTGAGGTACTGTCTAAATATTTATGTCCTAGTGAATTATTTCCTCCCTTGATTATTTCACTACGACTAAATTTGCTGTCATTTCTGGCATTAAGTCTCTGCTTGGAATCCGGAAGACAATGAGTATATCATAGGAAATAATAATAATAATAATGCAGCGTGTATTGATTATCGTAAAGCCTTTGATAGTGTTCCACATTCTTGGATCCTTAAGACTTTGGAAATATACAAAGTCTCCCCTGTGGTATTAAATTTCCTTAAGCACAGCATGGGAATGTAGAACACCAAACTATACCTTAGTCACACCGAGGGCACTGCCATATCCAACCGTCTGAATATCCGACGTCGAATCTTTCAAGGAGACTCTCTGTCACCCCTTCTGTTTTGTTTGTCCTTAATCCCTCTTACACATGAACTGAACAACAGTACCTATGGTTACAAAATAAATAAGCAAATATTCAATCACCTACTCTACATGGATGATCTCAAACTCTTTGCCAAAGACGACAATGAGTTGAAAGGCCTCCTCAATATTGTAAAATACTTCAGTGACGACATAGGTATGGACTTCGGATTAGATAAATGTGCAAAAGTAACTTTTAAGAAAGGTAGAATTACAGAAACACCCTTAATAGATTTAAATTTTGTCACAAAGATTAGGGAACTGGAGCATGGTGAAACTTAGAAGTACCTAGGAATTAGCGAAGGAGATGGCATACAACACCCCCAAATGAAGGAAAAAATAAGAAAAGAGTACTACAGGCGTGTACGTCTGGTAATAAATACTGATCTAAACTAAAAAAAAAAAAAAACAGAATATCAACCATAAACACATTGGCTGTCCCTGTGGTGCAATATAACTTTAATGTCCTTAACTGGACCATAGCTGAAATTAAGCGAATGGACGCCAAAACGAGAAAGCTTCTCACTTGCTATCGCATGCATCATCCCAAAGCTGATGTTGATCGTCTGTATGTGCCCAGATCCGAAGGAGGCAGAGGATTAGTTCAACTAGAACTGTCCTACAAAACTACAATAATTGGCCTCCAAAGATACTTAGAAACTACAGAAGACTTGATGATCGTATGCGTCAAGGAACATGAAAGTAGTAAGCGTCTTTACTCCATAATGAAAGAAGCCAACAAATTCAAAATGAAGTTTCAAATGGGCGTAGAGATGAAACTACAGCACAATACACCGGCTGAAACTGCAAAATACTTAAAAAAGACAGCAAAGACGAATGCAACCGACCAGATACAGAAGCGATGGCAAGATAAACCGCTTCATGGCCAATACTCTGCCCGTACCAAACAAGCTGACGTAGACAAAACCCGTACCCATCAGTGGCTACGTAGTGCAGGGTTGAAAGCTGAAACTGAAAGTTTTATCCTTGCTGCACAGGACCAATGCTTGCTAACCAGGAATTATCAAGCACATATACTAAAATATTGTGTCAGCCCAAAAATGCAGATTCTGTGATAAATATCCAGAAACGATTGATCATTTTGTATCAGGCTGCACGATATTGGCACCCACAGAATATAAAACCCGGCATGACAGAGTGGGCCAATATCTGCACTGGAAAATATGCAACATTTACGGAAAGAAAACTGAAAGAAACTGGTATGAACACCACCCAGACCCGGTTACGGAGATAGGATCTATAAGAATTTGATGGGATTTTACAATACACGCAGACAAAACAATCAAAGATAATCGCCCAGTTACAGTGACCAGAGACCAAAAAAACAAAATGTTCTTTTTTATTGATATGGTAGTCACTGCAGAATGTAATGTATCTTTGAAGATCTTCGAAAAAAATTATCAAAATAAACAGTATCTTGAAGTGGAAATCTAAAAAATGTGGCACATGAGGACATTAGTAATTCCAGATGTAGTTGGAGAACTCTGATTGATTGGAAAATGTTTCTGATAGACTCATTGAAAGGATTCTTGGTAATCCATGCATTAAAGAAATAGAAATACATTTTTTTCTTTTTCTTTTTACAAAAATCATCAATGGAAAATGTCAGAAAGTAATTTCTGACCTTAGGTGTCAGGTTAGGAGACGGAAAGAAATGTGTATACAAGAGAAATCAAAATAAATAAATAAATACATAAATAATAATAATAATAATAATAATAATTGTTGTGGATTCCGGGATGGAATCCGTTCTCAAATGAATGACAAACGCAGGAATGAAATATAGCAAATAAATGTATTGACGTAATAATACAATTGGTAATACGGTTAGTAGATCCAGAAATGCGGTTAGTAACAATAATAATATATATACAGTCTGGGAAATTCAGTAACGAAGTAGGATTTCCTTCTGAGTCTTCGTGCTCGCAACTGTGACTCTTACAAAGCGGTTACGTCACACTCTCACTCTCTCACTTCCGGGTATTCACCGACAGCATTACAAGTACACACTGGGCGAGTTCACTTGTATAAAAAAGGGGTGGACCCCTTAACAATAATAATAATAATAGTAATGGAACATGCAAGTAAAGGAGATATTATCTGTGACTCCAGAGTGTTGATGATAATGATGATGATGGCGATGATGATGGCGATGATGATGGTGATGATGATAATATTGATGATGATGGTTATTAATAGTAATATTCTTGAGAAAGAGAGAAAAAAAGAAAATGCCCCAAATAGATATAAAATAAATAAATATCTATATAGAAGCATGTAGATAGTATGAAAGCAATAATGAAAATAGACCCGTATAGGAATAATATAACTGATAATCACATATACCATGTGCCGGTGAAAAGGCCCTCCCCATACCAACAGAAACTATAATCTGGGGTTCTCCCATTCTATGATATCGCAATTTTCATAAAGTAATGTTCATATAAAATTCAAATTTTATTGTAACCTAATTAAGTACAATAATGGATTATATGCAATGTAAGCGAACAACTCAACTAGAAAAATTGTAAAATAAATCCAATGTATCTAAATACAAATTAGAGACATGTCATAATAGATTTTAAAAAATCAACAAATTTTGGCGGCAAATTTTAACATCAACCTAAGATTTTTCTTGATAAAATGTCGAATAATTTTAACACATTCAACATTCTGGATAAAAAATAATGAATTTTATATTGTATTTTTTCGAAATTTAGCAAATCCGCGAAAATAGATCATCCTTTAATAGTCAGGTGTGCTTAGTTTAATTTTAACGTATATAGATGTAAGGAGATAAAAAGCAGAAGATAATTTTTCAACTGTCAGCTTCCAATTCGACCTTATCGAACTTATTTGACTTATCATTAAGACTTGACTAAATAGTTGTGTCAACAACATAGATATCGATTTGAGAATTGATGACATCGGGAAAGTCGTTGATGAATATTAAAAAGAAAATAGGTTCAAGTATAAAATCCCTGAGCGCCATTCGCATTAATGTAAAAAGATCGAGAAGAGTGGCCGTTCCAGATAACCATCATTTCCAGATTTGATAAGAAAAATTAAATGAAATTAAATAGAAAGTCGACTAGAAACATCATAAAATTTGCAGACATATTTGCTTTCGTCAGAAACATTGTAGAAAATCAGGTAAACAAGGTTTGAGTTTTCACAAGTAAGGGGAGAGAGCTGTTCTAATCAAATAGAGAATGACTGCTAAAAAGAACCCCTCCCTAAATCTATAGCCAAAACATACAGTTGCATGGTGGGATTTTTCCTAGCCAATGAAATAGGCTCCTTGTCGGTCTTATGCGATTCAGTTATGTTCTTTCTTGTATTGAAGTCAAAACGCTGCTATCGCTTGTTTGTATCCCCTCTTGTGTGTTAACACTGTATAGAGTAGAAATGGAAAGTCTCATTAGATAACGGCGGACTTCCACAGACAGACACTGAAGAATATAAGTTATTGTTGTGGAGTCCTCCCTCTAATGACTCTTCCACTTACTATAAAATTAGCCTCGAGGGAACAGCAGTATAGATTGAACGCTGGTCAACCGACACACACTCCCAAGCCGTGTAATACTCTTCTGTTCAATACACGCTTTATCTGCAACCTCTTGTTTTGTTATTTCTTAACCATGTACTTACTTACAACAATTACCTCTCCTGAGTGGCCAGGAGTCACGAGTCTTTTTATATTTGTATCTCGTTGGTATGAGAATAAAGTAATTCAGAATTACTATTACCTTTAACGTTGTGCTTATTTTACAAACACCATTCTTAGTTCATGAAGCTTTTGCATTATTGCTGTTATTTTGCCTTGCGTATATTGTTTGCTTAGTATTATTTTTACCCTGTTCATTCCCTTTCTTCTTCTTATTGATTATTGCGAACTTCGTCAGTTCTTTTTTGTCTGTCAATTATGTTTATTCAACCATAGCCAATTACTCTACATTTTCTCTTCTGTACCTAGGAGAATGCATGTTGTGTCGGTGACATGTGCTTACAGATTTACTATTGTGATTTATTGCACATAAAGGTTGTTTCATGAAGACGGATTATATATCAAGGGTGTTTCATTAAGACGGATCAAAGTCAGCAGTAAATAAATTAATGTTATTGGTGAAAATTTATTTATTTCTCTATTGGATCATGTTATTTATGTCATGGCAATTATGTGTGAAAAATAATATTGCCCAAATATTTGCTAAGGCTTCAGCAGCACACCTCCACTTGATGGTAAAAATTTTTGATGACGTCTCTGCATAGTTGCTCCTTGATCTCACCAAGATGCCTTATTATCTCGTCCTTCAACCGTTGAATTGTTGTTGGCTTGTTGGCATAGACCTTACTTTTGAGATGACCCCAAAGGAAGAAACCTTATGGCATCAAGTCGTACGATCATGGTGGCCAATTGACTTCACTGTTTTGAGAGATGATGCAACCTGGGAACTTCTCATTCAAATTCTGTTTGAACGTCCATTTTCGTAATTGGCTTCGATAACTTTAACTCGTTGTTTGATTGCTAATCTTTTCATGGTTGAAATTGACAAAGACTTAAGTTGTTAAATGTGAAAGAAAAGAAAAAAATCATTAGATGCTTAAACTTAATTCACATTTAAAATCGGTGCAAGTTATTGGAACACCCTTTATATATATATATATATATATATATATATATATATATATATATATATATAAGTGCGTAGGTATGCAGAAAATAGAAAAGAACACGTTGGGTGCTTAATCCGAGGTTCCTTAGTATTTTTGTTTTTATTTTTTAAGAAGACAGTGCTCCATACAGAAGTAGAGCTTATATTATAATAATATTTTTGTTTAAAAATATGATTCCTTCACTACATAAGAGTTCTCATGTTTCAAAAACGGGAGCCGAAATATCCAAATAATTATTAAAGTTAAGTTGGATTGTGGTGTTTAGTCCCGTTTCATATATATATATATATATATATATATACTTGGAGAGCATTTGATCGTTCCAGTTTTGAAAATGTGGGTAGGATAATAAATTGTGTCAAGTTGTTTTGCAATTAGTTTGAATGCATTATTAATTAGGGGATATAGTTGAAGATTTAGAAAATCTCTTTTGAGGTAGTGGTGAGGTTAGTTTAATTATCATTAAAATCAAATACTCTGGATATTCGTGGGCGATGTTTTTTTGTTTTTTTGTAGACGAAATGATAGTTACTTTTGCGTTATCGTGTGGCGTCTATTGTGAAACGGGTCAATAGGTGAGCGAATATGTATATTGTAATCATTAAGATCTCTATAAAATATTTTAGTAAGCTAAAGTTTGTAATTTTCGAAAACATTTATTGTGTTCTCACATGTTAACTAGATAAAAAAACACCAAAAGACACAAAGAAGATTTTTGTCCTCAGTATAAGGAAAGGAATAAACGTTGACATTTAATATGGATATAGTGTCTTCTTAATTACAATAGTGAATGTCCCCAACGATATAAGTTAAAAAAAAAGGAAAAACTTAATCAAACGCACGCAAATGCTATCTTCTTCCAAAACCATATTCTATAAAGAATTACATAACATTAAATTGTCTCCTACGACACAGTGAACCGACTTTATTAGCAGCTGACATAGCAATCGATTCAGTATAGTCATTCCACTTTATGCCAGCTGAAAACGTTAGCCCAAGAAGTCGCAACAAGTCACTTTCCTGGAGGTTAGCATCAGCCATGCTAATGGAAGAGAGAGAGAGAGAGAGAGAGGGGTGTCTCAGCTGATCAATGGAGAGAAGTTTAGTTTTGGAGGCGTTAAAATTAACAAGTCATCTTTTGTCTCAGTTAACGACGGACTTCCATTTTGATCTTTTCAAACTGATCAGATATACTACCGAGATAGGAGTAAATGGTTGTGTCGTCAGCGTAGATGTCAAGTTGAGAGCTGATGTCATTAGGAAGGTTGTTAATGAAAATTAAAAACAGCGTAGGACCAAGGATGGAGCCCTTGGGGATACCCGCTTTAGTACGAAAGGATTTAGACGAGTGGACGTTCAAGATAACTTTCATTTCACGGTATTTGAGAACAAATTTAATTTTAATTATACTAAATAAATATAATTATTATTTTTACTATTAGTTTATCAATATATTATTTTTACTGTTAGTTTATCTATCTATCGATCTATCTTCGACCTATCTATCTATCTATCTATCTATCTATCTATCTATCTATTTTTGTTAGTTTATCAATGTTTTAGTTTTACTGTTAGTTTATCTATCTATCTATCTATCTATCTATCTATTATTTTCACTATTAGTTTATTATTCTTACTTTTAGTTTATCTATCTATGTATATATCAATTATTTTACTGTTAGTTTATCTATCTATCGATCTATCTATCGATCTATCTATCGACCTATCTATCTATTATTGTTACTGTTAGTTGATCTATCTATCTATTTATCTATGTTATTTTTACTGTTAGTCTATCTATCAATTATTTTTACTGTTACTTTATCTATCTATCTATTATTTTGACTGTTAGCTTACTTATTACAAGACTCAAGAGCCATTCATGGTAGAGGGTTACTAAATGTGATTGTGGTAATAGAGGGGAGGATATAAAAATGCATATTTTGAGGACATGTAGGATATATAGCAGTTGGCACGAGACTTAGTTACCAAGATTGTAATTGTCAGAGAAGCATCCTCTAGGGAGATTTTCCACAAAATAACAATTTTGGGGAAAAATCTCCCTCCGTGAGACCTGCTCCTTTTCAAAGGAACACGAAGAAGATGCGTGTGGTTTACTACTGTGAACATGGCATGCAGGTCCCATCTGCTGGAACTAAGGAATATTACCGAAAAATATCCGAAAATAGCAATAGCAACGTTTCTTCTGTGGAAAAAGTATTGCAGGGTTGAAAATAATTCAGCACCCGCAAGGTCACGTAATCACTTTTTAACGCTGTCGAGTATGTACGGTGAGGAATCGGCAGCAATACTCCACTTTATCTGAGGCAACTATTGTAGTGATAGAGCATAATAGACGGAGTTCGGTATTTTCAAAAGTGATACAAAGAATCGACCATATTTCCAGCATCTTTTGCAATGGCACGAATATCTATCTATCTTAGTCTGTTCATATCTATCTATCTATCTATCTTAGCCTATTCATATCTATCTGTGTATATATCTATCTCATTCTGTTCATATCTATCTACGTATCTATCTATCCTATTCAATTTATATCTATATATGTATCTCAATTCATATCTATCTATCGTAGTCTGTTCATATCTATCTATCTATCTATCTATCTATCTATCTATCTATCTATCCTATTCAATTTATATCTATATATGTAACTCAATTCATATCTCTCTTAGTCTGTTCATATCTATCTATCTATCTATCTATCTATCTATCTATCTTTCTATCTATCTATCTATCTATCTATCTATCTATCTATCTATCTATCATAGTCAATTAGGTATTTTCTGAAGTAATAAAAGGAATCTACCATTCTTCCAGCATTTGAGGCCGGGATCGAGATTTAGACCCAGTAGGCGTTTAAAGCAGGGAGTGTCTTTGAGGGTATGACCACTTATCATGATTAGTTCAGGTTTAAGGTCATGTCAAGTGGTGATGAGATGTTACGAGTTTAGTATTGGATGTATTGAATATCAAGCAGTCTTTTCTCTGTTGAGCTGTAAGAGTTAAATCAGAGCAGAGATCAGCTGCCAGTCACTGGTCATCAAGATATTTGGAGGTGTAGCTATACACTTTGATATCATCTGCATATATATTTATTAAGGATCTGCGAGTTGTTGAGGGGGTGGTAGATCATTAATATAAAGCAGACAGTGGACAGGACGAAGGAGAGGGCCTTGAAGAATGCCAGCACTGATCTCCTTTGTCTCAGAGGACTGGCCATTAAGTACGACCTTCATAGACCTATCTGACAGGAAAGATTTAATAACTGAACGGGTCCTTAGAGATTACATGATCAGTTTTTGTAGCAATCCCTTGTACCAGACATTGCCAAAAGACTTTAAAAAAAATCCTGAGCCAGAAACAATATCTCTAAGTCTTTTGGCAATGTCTGGTACAAGGGATTGTATTTGGGAAATACTTTGAATCTATCATAAACAATAAATACGTTGAACACAACAACAAAAAAAATCCTGAGCCAGAAACAATATCTCTGTGTTCAACGTCTTTCTTGATTATGATAGCTTCAAAGTATTTGCCTGTAAGGAGGCTGATGAGTCGATAGTGTGACATAGATAGACTAGGGATCAACTGTATTCTTGTACATAGGATGCACACCAGACACTTTTTCTGGGCTTGGGTATTGCTTCTTCTTAAGGCACCAATTAAGCAGCTTCGCTAAGTTTAGCAACTGTTTTGAGTCAAGGTTCTTGAGAGCAAAACTGTATTTTATCCGGACTAGTAGCTTTCGAAGAGGCAAAGCTTATCAAAAGCCATGCTTAAACGAAGGCTGATGTAGGTATCCCGAGTTGATATGGATATATCACAGAGCTAGTGCTCCATGTGGTGGGGAGAAGTTAGATATGGAATGGTGTCTTTTTGTCAAATCTAGTGTCAGAGGTAATCAAATTTCATAGCAATGGACTTTTCCAAGGTGGATGAGGTAAACTCAGTGCCATTTATAATGACTTTTGCTTCTGTCGTGCATTGCGTTTTCAATTCTTCAGAACTCGCAACATCCAAGATTTTTGTTCATTACTTGGTCTGCCTGCACATAGCTGCACTTACTCTCTTGCAGTGATTACGTTCTGAATGAGACAAGGTGTCTGCTACAACAGGGCTCGGCAACTTTTTAGAGAGAACGAACCAGAAAGTTAGAGGGCCATTATATCAAATTTACCATAACAAATTGTTAACCTCTGACCCTTTCATCCAGAAGACTACCTTGCTCTGGAGGTTGAAAGAAAAAATAACGAAGTTAATGCTTATTATTCAACCAAGGTTCCTTATTTTACTTCAGAATAACAACATAATCCACAAAAAATGCAAATTCCTTAATCCAAGCGAAATACAGTGAGAAATGGCAAATTATTTATTAAGACACTTGTTTCTGTTAATTATTTGATAACATCTTCACGTCAGGTGAAATATTTGTCGATGACAGGAGCAAAACATCATCCAGGTAGTCACTCCCCAATCTTGTTCTTAAACGACTTAAATGATAGTAAATTTCATTTTCAAAAAAAGTTGTTCCCAAGCATATGTACTTCCAAAGAATGATGCTATCATTTTCGAGTTATTCAATAGGATTTTCTATTTTCTATTTGGCAAAATATATTTCTTGTTGAAGTCAATGGTGGATTCGGAATTACATTTTTAATTTCAAAACATCGTCGCATTTGAAGTCGAATAACTCCAACTGATATTTTTCTGCCATTTGCTCCACAAATTGATTAGATAATTAGTGTCCAGGCGTTGAGTTGGTAACTCTTGTCACTTTGCTAATGATACAATCGACGTATTGTAATCCACAATGGCAAGGCTGTCAATAGTTCATACGATCAGATATAGTCCAGTTCCATCTGATTCGTTTTTTTTTGTCTTGTGCAAAATTGGCGATTACAGTAAAATTAGGCTAATAAATATATGAGACTAGGACCTATTGATAGACCGACGTAAGTCGATACACTCGTCGAACTCCAAAATAAGCGACGTGTATCAAAAATAAAGAAGTAGCTTTCAACAGGATTCGCGTCACGGTACTTCGTCGTACATGGACGTCAAGTTAATCGATTCGGCCACGGAAGATAACGGCTAAAAATCTTCAAAATTCGTCGCATTTTAACTCGATTAACTCCAACTGATATTTTTCTGTCATCTGCCCCACAAATTGATTAGATAATTAGCATCCAGGTGTTAATTTTAGGGGTCCGTACAAAAATCATTCTCGGGTCGGATGTGGCGCGCGGGCCGGGAGTTGACTATCCCTTTGCTAGAACATGTAACGGTGGGACATGGCTGCAGAACATTAAACTGTGAACGGCTGTTTTACTTTTGCTAGTAAATTTTCTTTGTCTTTTAAATGTATAGCTCTAGATAATTGCATAGTACATCCTTTGCATTATTAAAGGAGGTAGGGAATTTTGGGTCTACTTTCTGTATGGTTCATTCTGGGTTTGGTTCTTCTGTATGTTTTAAATTTTTTCATTTATTTATTGCATGGAGAATCAAGAGCCGAGGTAACAGGGTAACAAAAAAAAGTCACAAATGTAGCTGTACACGTCAGCAAGCGTCGGTATGACCCACCAGAAATTGTTACACGATCCTGATTTCAATCACAAAAAGGCAGTGCACCTGCTGATAGGATATCCCTCTTAGGAGTTATCCTAATGTTCAGATACCTAAATAACATATATATATATATATATATATATATATATATATATATATATATATATATATGTAGATAGATATATAGATATATAGTCTATTCTATCTATCTACTTCAGTTGTATCATATCTGTCTATCTCACTCTGTTTATATCTATCTATCTATCTATCTATCTTATTCAATTCATATCTATCTATCTATCTATCTATCTATCTATCTATCTATCTATCTATCTATCCTATTCAATTCATATCTATATATGTATCTCAATTCATATCTATCTATCTATCTATCTTGCTAGCTAGCTAGCTATCCTATTCAATTTATATCTATATATGTATCTCAATTTATATCTATCTATCTTAGTCTGTTAATCTATCTATCTATCTATCTATCTATCTATCTATCTATCTATCTATCTATCTATCTATCTATCCTATTCAATTCATATCTATATATGTATCTCAATTCATATCTATCTATCTATCTATCTTGCTAGCTAGCTAGCTATCCTATTCAATTTATATCTATATATGTATCTCAATTTATATCTATCTATCTTAGTCTGTTAATCTATCTATCTATCTATCTATCTATCTATCTATCTATCCTATTCAATTCATATCTATATATGTATCTCAATTCATATCTATCTATCTATCTATCTTGCTAGCTAGCTAGCTATCCTATTCAATTTATATCTATATATGTATCTCAATTTATATCTATCTATCTTAGTCTGTTAATCTATCTATCTATCTATCTATCTATCTATCTATCTATCTATCTATCTATCCTATTCAATTCATATCTATATATGTATCTCAATTCATATCTATCTATCTATCTATCTATCTATCTATCTATCTATCTATCCTATTCAATTTATATCTATATATGTATCTCAATTTATATCTATCTATCTTAGTCTGTTAATCTATCTATCTATCTATCTATCGATCTATCTATCTATCTATCTATCTATCCTATTCAATTCATATCTATATATGTATCTCAATTCATATCTATCTATCTATCTATCTATCTATCTATCTATCTATCTATCTATCTATCCTATTCAATTTATATCTATATATGTATCTCAATTTATATCTATCTATCTTAGTCTGTTAATCTATCTATCTATCTATCTATCTATCGATCTATCTATCTATTTATCTATCCTATTCAATTCATATCTATATATGTATCTCAATTCATATCTATCTATCTATCTATCTATCTATCTATCTATCTATCTATCTATCTATCTATCTATCCTATTCAATTTATATCTATATATGTATCTCAATTTATATCTATCTATCTTAGTCTGTTAATCTATCTATCTATCTATCTATCGATCTATCTATCTATCTATCTATCCTATTCAATTCATATCTATATATGTATCTCAATTCATATCTATCTATCTATCTATCTATCTATCTATCTATCTATCTATCTATCCTATTCAATTTATATCTATATATGTATCTCAATTTATATCTATCTATCTTAGTCTGTTAATCTATCTATCTATCTATCTATCGATCTATCTATCTATCTATCTATCCTATTCAATTCATATCTATATATGTATCTCAATTCATATCTATCTATCTATCTATCTATCTATCTATCCTATTCAATTTATATCTATATATGTATCTCAATTTATATCTATCTATCTTAGTCTGTTAATCTATCTATCTATCTATCGATCTATCTATCTATCTATCTATCCTATTCAATTCATATCTATATATGTATCTCAATTCATATCTATCTATCTATCTATCGATCTATCTATCTATCTATCTATCCTATTCAATTTATATCTATATATGTATCTCAATTTATATCTATCTATCTTAGTCTGTTAATCTATCTATCTATCTATCTATCTATCCTATTCAATTCATATCTATATATGTATCTCAATTCATATCTATCTATCTATCTATCTTGCTAGCTAGCTAGCTATCCTATTCAATTTATATCTATATGTATCTCAATTTATATCTATCTATCTTAGTCTGTTAATCTATCTATCTATCTATCTATCTATCTATCTATCTATCCTATTCAATTCATATCTATATATGTATCTCAATTCATATCTATCTATCTATCTATCTTGCTAGCTAGCTAGCTATCCTATTCAATTTATATCTATATATGTATCTCAATTTATATCTATCTATCTTAGTCTGTTAATCTATCTATCTATCTATCTATCTATCTATCTATCTATCTATCTATCTATCGATCTATCTATCTATCCTATTCAATTTATATCTATATATGTATCTCAATTCATATGTATCTATCTATCTATCTATCTATCTATCTATCTATCTATCTATCCTATTCAATTTATATCTATATATGTATCTCAATTTATATCTATCTATCTTAGTCTGTTAATCTATCTATCTATCTATCTATCTATCTATCTATCTATCCTATTCAATTCATATCTATATATGTATCTCAATTCATATCTATCTATCTATCTATCTATCTATCTTGCTAGCTAGCTAGCTATCCTATTCAATTTATATCTATATATGTATCTCAATTTATATCTATCTATCTTAGTCTGTTAATCTATCTATCTATCTATCTATCTATCTATCTATCTATCTATCTATCTATCTATCTATCCTATTCAATTCATATCTATATATGTATCTCAATTCATATCTATCTATCTATCTATCTATCTATCTATCTATCCTATTCAATTTATATCTATATATGTATCTCAATTTATATCTATCTATCTTAGTCTGTTAATCTATCTATCTATCTATCTATCTATCTATCTATCTATCTATCTATCTATCCTATTCAATTCATATCTATATATGTATCTCAATTCATATCTATCTATCTATCTATCTTGCTAGCTAGCTAGCTATCCTATTCAATTTATATCTATATATGTATCTCAATTTATATCTATCTATCTTAGTCTGTTAATCTATCTATCTATCTATCTATCTATCTATCTATCTATCTATCTATCTATCTATCTATCTATCCCTATTCAATTCATCTATATATGTATCTCAATTCATATCTATCTATCTATCTATCTTGCTAGCTAGCTAGCTATCCTATTCAATTTATATCTATATATGTATCTCAATTTATATCTATCTATCTTAGTCTGTTAATCTATCTATCTATCTATCTATCTATCTATCTATCTATCTATCTATCCTATTCAATTCATATCTATATATGTCTCAATTCATATCTATCTATCTATCTATCTATCTATCTATCTATCTCTATCTATCTATCTATCCTATTCAATTTATATCTATATATGTATCTCAATTTATATCTATCTATCTTAGTCTGTTAATCTATCTATCTATCTATCTATCGATCTATCTATCTATCTATCTATCCTATTCAATTCATATCTATATATGTATCTCAATTCATATCTATCTATCTATCTATCTATCTATCTATCTATCTATCTATCTATCTATCTATCCTATTCAATTTATATCTATATATGTATCTCAATTTATATCTATCTATCTTAGTCTGTTAATCTATCTATCTATCTATCTATCGATCTATCTATCTATCTATCTATCCTATTCAATTCATATCTATATATGTATCTCAATTCATATCTATCTATCTATCTATCTATCTATCTATCTATCCTATTCAATTTATATCTATATATGTATCTCAATTTATATCTATCTATCTTAGTCTGTTAATCTATCTATCTATCTATCTATCGATCTATCTATCTATCCTATTCAATTCATATCTATATATGTATCTCAATTCATATCTATCTATCTATCTATCTATCTATCTATCTATCTATCTATCCTATTCAATTTATATCTATATATGTATCTCAATTTATATCTATCTATCTTAGTCTGTTAATCTATCTATCTATCTATCTATCTATCGATCTATCTATCTATTTATCTATCCTATTCAATTCATATCTATATATGTATCTCAATTCATATCTATCTATCTATCTATCTATCTATCTATCTATCTATCTATCTATCTATCTATCTATCCTATTCAATTTATATCTATATATGTATCTCAATTTATATCTATCTATCTTAGTCTGTTAATCTATCTATCTATCTATCTATCTATCTATCTATCTATCTATCTATCCTATTCAATTCATATCTATATATGTATCTCAATTCATATCTATCTATCTATCTATCTATCTATCTTGCTAGCTAGCTAGCTATCCTATTCAATTTATATCTATATATGTATCTCAATTTATATCTATCTATCTTAGTCTGTTAATCTATCTATCTATCTATCTATCTATCTATCTATCTATCTATCTATCTATCTATCTATCTATTCAATTCATATCTATATATGTATCTCAATTCAATTCATTATCTATCTATCTATCTATCTATCCTATTCAATTTATATCTATATATGTATCTCAATTTATATCTATCTATCTTAGTCTGTTAATCTATCTATCTATCTATCTATCTATCTATCTATCTATCTATCCTATTCAATTCATATCTATATATGTATCTCAATTCATATCTATCTATCTATCTATCTTGCTAGCTAGCTAGCTATCCTATTCAATTTATATCTATATATGTATCCAATTTATATCTATCTATCTTAGTCTGTTAATCTATCTATCTATCTATCTATCTATCTATCTATCTATCTATCTATCTATCCTATTCAATTCATATCTATATATATGTATCTCAATTCATATCTATCTATCTATCTATCTTGCTAGCTAGCTAGCTATCCTATTCAATTTATATCTATATATGTCTCTCAATTTATATCTATCTATCTTAGTCTGTTAATCTATCTATCTATCTATCTATCTATCTATCTATCTATCTATCTATCTATCTATCCTATCCCATTCAATTCATATCTATATATGTATCTCAATTCATATCTATCTATCTATCTATCTATCTATCTATCTATCTATCTATCTATCCTATTCAATTTATATCTATATATGTATCTCAATTTATATCTATCTATCTTAGTCTGTTAATCTATCTATCTATCTATCTATCGATCTATCTATCTATCTATCTATCCTATTCAATTCATATCTATATATGTATCTCAATTCATATCTATCTATCTATCTATCTATCTATCTATCTATCTATCTATCTATCCTATTCAATTTATATCTATATATGTCTCTCAATTTATATCTATCTATCTTAGTCTGTTAATCTATCTATCTATCTATCTATCGATCTATCTATCTATCTATCTATCCTATTCAATTCATATCTATATATGTATCTCAATTCATATCTATCTATCTATCTATCTATCTATCTATCTATCTATCCTATTCAATTTATATCTATATATGTATCTCAATTTATATCTATCTATCTTAGTCTGTTAATCTATCTATCTATCTATCTATCGATCTATCTATCTATCTATTCAATTCATATCTATATATGTATCTCAATTCATATCTATCTATCTATCTATCTATCTATCTATCTATCTATCTATCTATCTATCCTATTCAATTTATATCTATATATGTATCTCAATTTATATCTATCTATCTTAGTCTGTTAATCTATCTATCTATCTATCTATCTATCGATCTATCTATCTATTTATCTATCCTATTCAATTCCTTATCTATATATGTATCTCAATTCATATCTATCTATCTATCTATCTATCTATCTATCTATCTATCTATCTATCTATCCTATTCAATTTATATCTATATATGTATCTCAATTTATATCTATCTATCTTAGTCTGTTAATCTATCTATCTATCTATCTATCTATCGATCTATCTATCTATCTATCTATCCTATTCAATTCATATCTATATATGTATCTCAATTCATATCTATCTATCTATCTATCTATCTATCTATCTATCTATCTATCTATCTATCCTATTCAATTTATATCTATATATGTATCTCAATTTATATCTATCTATCTTAGTCTGTTAATCTATCTATCTATCTATCTATCGATCTATCTATCTATCTATCTATCCTATTCAATTTCATATCTATATATGTATCTCAATTCATATCTATCTATCTATCTATCTATCTATCTATCTATCTATCCTATTCAATTTATATCTATATATGTATCTCAATTTATATCTATCTATCTTAGTCTGTTAATCTATCTATCTATCTATCGATCTATCTATCTATCTATCTATCCTATTCAATTCATATCTATATATGTATCTCAATTCATATCTATCTATCTATCTATCGATCTATCTATCTATCTATCTATCCTATTCAATTTATATCTATATATGTATCTCAATTTATATCTATCTATCTTAGTCTGTTAATCTATCTATCTATCTATCTATCTATCTATCTATCTATCTATCTATCTATCTATCTATCTATCTATCCTATTCAATTCATATCTATATATGTATCTCAATTCATATCTATCTATCTTGCTAGCTAGCTAGCTATCCTATTCAATTTATATCTATATATGTATCTCAATTTATATCTATCTATCTTAGTCTGTTAATCTATCTATCTATCTATCTATCTATCTATCTATCTATCTATCTATCTATCCTATTCAATTCATATCTATATATGTATCTCAATTCATATCTATCTATCTATCTATCTTGCTAGCTAGCTAGCTATCCTATTCAATTTATATCTATATATGTATCTCAATTTATATCTATCTATCTTAGTCTGTTAATCTATCTATCTATCTATCCTGTATCTATCTATCTATCTATCTATCTATCTATCTATCCTATTCAATTCATATCTATATATGTATCTCAATTCATATCTATCTATCTATCTATCTATCTATCTATCTATCTATCCTATTCAATTTATATCTATATATATATCTCAATTTATATCTATCTATCTTAGTCTGTTAATCTATCTATCTATCTATCTATCTATCTATCTATCTATCTAGCTATCTATCCTATTCAATTCATATCTATATATGTATCTCAATTCATATCTATCTATCTATCTATCTATCTATCTATCTTGCTAGCTAGCTAGCTATCCTATTCAATTTATATCTATATATGTATCTCAATTTATATCTATCTATCTTAGTCTGTTAATCTATCTATCTATCTATCTATCTATCTATCTATCTATCTATCCTATTCAATTCATATCTATATATGTATCTCAATTCATATCTATCTATCTATCTATCTTGCTAGCTAGCTAGCTATCCTATTCAATTTATATCTATATATGTATCTCAATTTATATCTATCTATCTTAGTCTGTTAATCTATCTATCTATCTATCTATCTATCTATCTATCTATCTATCTATCTATCCTATTCAATTCATATCTATATATGTATCTCAATTCATATCTATCTATCTATCTATCTATCTATCTATCTATCTATCTATCTATCCTATTCAATTTATATCTATATATGTATCTCAATTTATATCTATCTATCTTAGTCTGTTAATCTATCTATCTATCTATCTATCTATCTATCTATCTATCTATCTATCCTATTCAATTCATATCTATATATATGTATCTCAATTCATATCTATCTATCTATCTATCTATCCTATTCAATTTTATATCTATATATGTATCTCAATTTATATCTATCTATCTTAGTCTGTTAATCTATCTATCTATCTATCTATCTATCTATCTATCTATCTATCTATCTATCTATCCTCCTATTCAATTCATATCTATATATGTATCAATTCATATCTATCTATCTATCTATCTATCTATCTATCTATCTATCCATCCTATTCAATTTATATCTATATATGTATCTCAATTTATATCTATCTATCTTAGTCTGTTAATCTATCTATCTATCTATCTATCTATCTATCTATCTATCTATCTATCTATCTATCTATCTATCTATCCTATTCAATTCATATCTATATATGTATCTCAATTCATATCTATCTATCTATCTATCTATCTATCTTGCTAGCTAGCTAGCTATCCTATTCAATTTATATCTATATATGTATCTCAATTTATATCTATCTATCTTAGTCTGTTAATCTATCTATCTATCGATCTATCTATCTATCTATCTATCTATCTATCTATCTATCTATCTATCTATCTATCCTATTCAATTCATATCTATATATGTATCTCAATTCATATCTCTCTATCTATCTATCTTGCTAGCTAGCTAGCTATCCTATTCAATTTATATCTATATATGTATCTCAATTTATATCTATCTATCTTAGTCTGTTAATCTATCTATCTATCTATCTATCGATCTATCTATCTATTAAACTGCCTTACAAAGATCGATGTTCCCAAAACTCTGTCTCCATTCGACTCCCGGATCAACAGACATCTATAGCTTGCTTACAACGTACCAGTTTTACAATGCCACAGCGCCAAATCCTACCCCTCCCCTATGACAGGTATCACCGAGGAGAGTCCCATCAGACTCGGTGGTGAGATTTTGCAGCATTGAGATCGCATCAATCAAGGAGAGAAATTGATTTTGCTCTGGGGCCTACACTGGGAAAGCAGCTTTGGTCAGGAGAATCGAATCTGTGATCGTAGCTCTTACTTGAAAGAGGATTCGCTCATTATCATGCATGCTTGAACTAGTCCATTGCCTTCCCATCCCCTTTCAATCAGAGGACGGAAGAAACCCTTTCCGAATGAAATGCTCAAATAGACGTGTATGGAGATAAATCTTTGTAACTTTTACGCAAACATTCTCGGCTGAAAAGGCACATATCACAGAATACATATATATATATATATATATATATATATATATATATATATATATATATATATATATATATATGTGTGTGTGTGTGTGTGTGTCTGTGCATTGCGCGTGTGCATGTGCGTGTTTGTGTGTGTACAAGAGGTGTTACACAAAATTTCGTAGAAATTAAGAAGCGTAAAAGAGAAATTGAAAAAATTGAGGTGTTTTTATTTTTTGTCGAAGAGATTTCTTGAGATAGGAGCCATTGCTTAACTTTGCAGATGAATGAAATTGGGGGTAGCATACGCTCTTTCTCTTCCATTCTCTCTCTCTCTCTCTCCTTCATACTATCTCTCGCTTTCTCTCTCCACACACACATATACACACATACACATGCAAGTGTGAACATAGCTGTTAACATCATATATCGACAGAATGTTTCATGCTTAAACGCAATCGTCTGGCCTGAAGTTTCTTAAGCAAGAAACGGATTATCGCCATCCAGTGTTAATATCTATGTCCACAAATTATACGCATATCGATTTTTCGGATATTGAGTAATTTTGTTTCAAAAATATAACATTCATTAAAAACTATATTTTATCTATCAGTTTAATTTTTCATGCATTTTTTCCAATTTTCCGAAAGTACTTGAGAAAAAAATAAGAAAATGTGAATTCGGTTGTTTTATTCATATTCGAGCACAAGACTCAACACCTTAGACGAAAATTGGAAAAATATGAAAAGAAAAATGACACAGACAGACCTTCTCGTTTCGTTTTAATCAAACTTGTTTTTATGAACACACACACACACACACACACACACACATATATATATATATACATATATATATGAAGAAATATAGTTTTAAGGTGTGCTATATTTATGGGATAAAGTGCTCAATATCAGATATAGAGCGTATGTAAATATAAATAAAAAATTGAACATTGATGTCAACACTGAGAGGCGACAGGCTGTTTCATGCTGGACGCAATCGTCAGGCCGCCTCCCAATTGCGTCTAACATGAAACAGCCTGTTGTCTCTCAGTGTTAACTTCAATGTTCACTTTATATATATATATATATATATATATATATATATATATATATATATATATATATATATATATATATATATGTGTGTGTGTGTGTGTGTGTGTGTGTGTGTGTGTGTAAAGATCAGTTTGGTAATGCATATCGATAATTCCAGGCAGAATATAATTCAGAGAGCTCAATGTGAAAACAACAAATATTAATTATATTAAGAAACAGACAACTTTAAGGCTTCATTGTAATTATAATTTATTTCCATAGAATCGAAATTTCATTCTAATTCCTCAGATCAACCTTTTCAGGTATTATGTTTCTTAATATATATATATATATATATATATATATATATATATATATATGTGTGTGTGTGTGTGTGTGTGCTTATGTGTTTGTGTGTCTGTGCGAGTGTGTGTGTTTAACAAGAAGACTCACGGTAGTTCTCTCCGGCCATAGCTCAATTAGGTCTCATTTAAATACACATGGAGACCTTCCAAATTCTACTCGCAACATCACATGTACAAAATGGCTAAAAACGGAAAGAATATTAATAAAAAAGAAAAATCCATCAGTCAATAATATTAACTATGAACATGGCCATAATGTTTGAAATATAAAAACATTCGTATTACTTTTGATAGATACATGAAGCAATCGATATATTAAGTTAAAAGTAAAATAAAATTTATTACCGAAAGCGCATAGATATATAAAACATTCGGATAATTCTTTTTATACGATTTACGTCCTGAAAAGAAGAAAAAAAAATGAGGGAACACATGAAAAAATTATATAAAAAAAACTTACCACATCACATTGTAAGTCGTTTTAAGTAAACTTGCATATATATATATATATATATATATATATATATATATGTGTGTGTGTGTGTGTGTGTGTGTGTGTGTGTGTGTGCGCGCATGTATATATGTGCATGTATGATTGTGTGTGCTCCCGTATACCGTATATGTATGTATGTGTGTATTTTAGTGTTATTATTCATATCGACGGGGTGTTTTAATTTTAAATGCCAGGGCTCAGGAAATAAAACCTGGATACTTGGTGGTGTTCAGAAAATCTACGCCATAGGATGTTTGGGTTAGGACGCAACTAAATAGATATTGATTGAGTGATTGATCAAATTCTTACGGATTATCCTTTCATTATTTATTTATTATTTTAAAATTATTTAAAATTGCAAATCATTTTGGATTGTAAGAATTATTCATTTTTGAGTAGTGAATATTACAGTAAAAATTATTTGAGAATAAAAAGTTAATTTTCCCGATACAAATCCTACTGTTTAACCTATAGGCAGGGGGACGCAAGGAGATAAATTTATACTTTTTCAATTATTTTATTTTTTCTGTTTTCAATTTTTAAGTAACGTAGTAAAATTTGTATTCATGTCTGCATTTTGAGACCACAGAACACAAAAAAGGCCAACAGGAAAAGAAATATCATATGGTTCAACCCAACGTTCAGCAAAAACGTAAAAACAAACGTTGGAAATATATTCTTCAAACTCTTACACAAACACTTCCCGGAATCAAGCACCCTACACAAAATATTCAACAAAGACACAGTAAAAATCAGCTACAGCTGCACCGAGAACATGGCACAAATAATAAAAAAGCACAACAGGAAAATTATCAACAAACCACACGAACAAATTAAACCCACGTGCAACTGCAGAATAAAGAACGAATGTCCCTTAAACGGAAATTGTTTACAAAACAACGTAATGCACCAAGCCACGATAAAATCACCAGATAATGAAGAAAAAGTATACATAGGAGTAACTGAAGGACCCTGGAAACAAAGAAATTATACACACAAAACATCTTTCACAAATAGTAAATATGCGAACAGTACAATGCTTTCTAAGTATATCTGGAAAATTAAAAACAAAACGCACATCACACCAAAAATATCTTGGAAAATAAGGAAAAAAAAATCAGCTTAAAACAACCAAGCAAAAACTTGAAAACTTTGCTTGGAGGAAAAAATAGCTATCATTACTTTCCCAGACCAAAATAAATTATTAAATAAAAGATCAGAGCTCATCTCAAAATGCAGACATGAAAACAAATTTTTATTACGTTAATTAAAAATTGAAAACGGAAAAATAAAATAAAAACAAATAAATAATCAGGTAAACAAAATAACAATAAAATAAGCAAAATTAATTAATCCAAACAAATTACCAAACCAAATTACCAAATCACACCTGTTAGAATAGAGGGAATTGAATAAAAATAATAATAATAATAATAATAACAAAAAAACAACGAACCCAAATAAATAAAGTAAATAATAAACAAAGTAGCAAACCATTATGACCAAAATATTAGTTAGACTAAAAAATCAAACCAAAAGATCGGACGAAAAAAATAGCTATAACTGTTATATAACGATAAAAAAAAATAAAAAAATAAAAAATAAAATAAAATAAAAAATAAAATAAAAAATAAAATAAAATAAAATAAAATAAATACTACGTTAATTAAAAATCGAAAACCGAAAAGAGAAAATATACAAGTAAAATAAATTGACCTAAATTCATCAAAGTAAATAAATAAACAAACCAATCCCGATAAAGTTACCGTTAGAAAAACAAATAAAGATAATCAACCCAAATAAACACAAATTAAAAACTGTTCCTGCCAAAATAATATGAGGAATAAACTACAACAACCAAGCCCAAAACCGAACAAATAGCTTTAATTAAATTCTCAAACCAAATCAAAACTATTAAATAAGCGATATAAACAAATTTTTAATATGTTAATAAAAACACCGATTAAAAAAATAAGTAAATAAATAAATAAAATAAAAAATAAAAAATAAATAAAAACAAGCAAAATAAATAACCGCCATAATAGACTACCCACAATGCACCACTGACCCGTATATGTATAAATAGACGAGAAAAATGACAGCACACGTGGCCTGACGATTGCATTTAGCATGAAACAGACTGTTGCCTCTAAGTGTTGACTTCTATGTTCATATATATATCTCCAGGTACGATAAGAACAAATGAAGTATATTTCAAGTGTCCATAACATTTAATTTAAAAGAGGGCTCAATACAAAATAGACCTGAGTATTATTTATTAACAGGTAGTAAATAATACATAAATGTATGTATATCTATCTATCTATCTATCTATCTATCTATCTCTCTCTCTCTCTCTCTCTATATATATATATATATATATATATGTATATTAATTATTAATGTATATTCGAGCAGCAACCCTTTAAACATGTTTCATTTAATATGATTGGCAAGGAAAATTTAATTAATTTTTTTATTTAATTTTTCCACCATTCTTAAATTTTTCCGTTTTGTGGAAGTAAAGGATTGCCAAAATTTTTTTATACCGAGTGTTTATGAATTTGAACGTAACCCTAAACTGACTGTGAGATGTAGCCGATGTAGTCTATGCTAAAAGTTTCTTATCTCGCACTTCGCGTTTGTGGAACTCCCTCACGGCCCCGGGTTTTCTAAAAATTAAATGCAATGTCAATCGCTATCTACTGTTCTTCTGATTGCTCTTTTCTCTTTCTCCTCATTATTAATGTATCTGTTTCTGATTCCCCAACACCTTGGAAACTTGCGTGCTAGTGGCTGTACGGCCTTGATTGCGGTGATATAGATTTTTAAAAAGAAAAGG